GAGGGAGAAGAAGGAGGAGGAGGTGGAGGCGGAAGCAGGGTAGGTACGGGGTAAAAAGGTTGGAAGCTGTGGCGAGCGGTGGAGAGGAGCGGAGGCGAGGGTGGAGTGTGGAGCGCGAGGGAAGGAGGAGGAGGAGGGGGGGTTGGTTTGCCAGCGCGAGAGGCAAGGGGAGGGGGAGGGGAGTGGGTGGGTGGGAAAGGAGGATGGGTGGTGGATCGAGAACGACGGGTCAATTTAAGCCGCGAAGGGAGGGAGAAGCGGACCGGGCCTAAAGGCAGTAAACCCCGAAAAATTCAGCGCGGTTCAGCCGATTCGATCGGTGGAAAGCGAACGCGGGGTCCCAGTGATCGGATCGAGGCTGCTCGCGCGCCCCGATACTCGCAGTGCGGTGCGGTACCCGCGTCGAGTTGCGCGCGATCCTTGCACGCCGCGAATGTTTTCGCATCGCGCTACGACGACCGCGACCACGACCGTTACGACCGATACGACGAGTAGTAGTGCTTGCTTGTGCCGCCGGGATAATCGTGTTTCGCGCGTGTCCCTCCAGCTGGGGAGAAGAGAGTTATTATACTGGCAAGTTGTTCGATCGATCGAGGCGTAACGCTCGACCACGCTCGATCGATCCCACGAGTGGGTACGAGTAGTATCGGTGGTGTCGATCGATCGGTGGACGAGAGAGAGAGAAGGGTCTCGCTCTCCGCCGTTTTTTCCCCCTTCACGAAATTCAAACTTTCTCACTGCGACGACGAGTGAAAGTGAAGAAGTTGGGAACGAACGCCGTGCGTCAACGCCTTCGACGTGACGAGAGAGAGAGAGAGAGAGAGAGAGACGCGTGTAAGAGCGAGATCTTTTCTCGCGAAATTTGTGTTGTTGATTGCGCGCGAGAAGAAGAGGAGAAAGAAAAAAAAGAAATGAAATGAAAAGAAAAGTGCGAAAAGTCGTGAAAAGACGGTGTTTGGAAATTCGAAGAACGAGACGGAGCGAGATACGAGGAAAGTTTAGCCCGGGGAGGGGGGAGGGAAGGAATGGGGGCGAGAAAGAAGGGCCGCCGTCGTATAGGTAGGGTAGAATCGCGGGGAGGGGAGGAGAGAGAGAGAGAGAGAGAGAAACGAGAGTCGGCCGGTCGGTGACCCAATTCGAGCGGCGGCTTTTTCCAACGGCGCGAAAGTTGAACGTGACCGGGGAAACTTTTCGTGGTCGTGGCAATCGAGCCGTCGCGCCTCTCTCGCAACAAGGAGAAGGAGGCGACCACCACCGCCGTTCCTTCACCCTTGCGCTCTCGCCTATACTACCACCGCGCCTGATATTCCACTCCTCCTCTCGCTACATTGTTCGCGCCTTCCTCTCTGTCGTTCGTCCTCGTCTAATCGTTCCTTCCATACTTTTCCAACGAGTATCGCGACACGAGATACTTGTCCTTATCTCTCCCGAAATCGCTCTCCTTTTACTTTTTCTCTCTCTCTCTCTCTCTGTTTAATCTCGCTCTTATCTCGTTGTTCACGAAGGAGAGAGAGAGAGAGAGAAATCAGGAGGGAAGTTGGAAAGTAAGTAAATTATCGCGATAACTCGGAGTTTGGTCGATCGATAACGATGACCGATTTTACCGTCTTTGCGGTATCGCCGGTGTTGCAAAGTAGAAAGTAAGTCTAGACGCTCGTTAACTTGAAAACTAGAGTTCCGACTTCCGCTCTCTTGCTCCACGTTACATCCTTCGATCGTCCAACGTACTTGCTTGCTTACTTACTTACTTACTTACTTACTTACTCACTTACTCACTTTACTTACTTACTTAGTTAGTTAGTTGAGAAATACTTCGAATCGAGTTTTCGTACGCGGAACACTCTTTCTTCCCCGAATGGAATGTCAGCCATATATCGATCGTATCGATTATACGGATCGAAGATGTTAAGAAATTTCTATATCTTGGTCGGTTCGCGCGCGAGGCCGACGGTGGTCGAGTTTGCGGAAAAATTTGACGAACTTGGGGGCAATTTCTCTCTCTGGAGGAGGAAAGAAAGAAAGAAAGAAAGAAAGAAAGAAAATATCCGTGGGAAGGAAGGAAGGAAGGAAAGAAGACGTATTCAGCGCGTGGAAGAGTATCGCGGAGTAGCAGTGACCTGCGAAAAGATTGGGGAAGCCGGTTAAATGCGCGAGTCGGAGAGAGAGAGAGAGAGAGAGAGAGAGACGCGAGGTTGATGGTTGTCGATGTTGGTGCGAGTGGGAAAGAAGGAGGTGGCGGAGGTTAGGGTTGGTGGTGGTGGTGGTGATGGTGGTGGTGGTGGTGGTGGTGGTGGTGGGAACAATAATGAGTGGCGGCTGTGTCGGAGAGAGAGAGAGAGAGAGAGAGAGAGACGCGAGGTTGATGGTTGTCGATGTTGGTGCGAGTGGGAAAGAAGGAGGTGGCGGAGGTTAGGGTTGGTGGTGGTGGTGGTGATGGTGGTGGTGGTGGTGGTGGTGGTGGTGGGAACAATAATGAGTGGCGGCTGTGTCGGGCGAGAAGGGAAGAGGGCGAGGATGAGGGCGGTGTGCTCGAGGGTGAAGAGGAGAGCGAGAATGAGCTAGGAGAGGAGAGAGGGAGAGTGGGGGGATGGACATGGTGGAGGAGGAGGAGGAGAGAGCGAGAGAGAAATATGGTGGGAGGGAGGGTGATGAAACGAGATGGAGGGTTGGCCGGTGGGAAAGCCTCCCCCTGCCCCTTTTCCACCCACCGGCCACCCTTCTGCCAGCTTGCTGCTCGGTCCAAAGGCAGGGGAGGAGGAGGAGGTGGGGAGGAGGGAGGAAAAAGGGAGAACTAGAGCTGGCCGAGGGGGGAGGAGGGGACAGGGAAGGGGTTGTCGCACGCCTATCCGCTCGATAGCAGCTTTCAGTCCGTGCACGTTTACCACGCTACCCCCTGCAATTTTCGTGCCCCATCCTTTTCGAAAAAATTCGTGCAGAAAAAAAAGAGGAAGAAGAGGAGGAGGAGGAGGAAGAAGAGGAAGAAGAAGAAGAAGAAGAAGAAGATGACGCTCGCGCGTCAAGTTTCGACGGCCGAAATCGGGCGAATTGAACGGCGCCGGCTATGATCGAGATCGAGACAACGGCTCGGATGATGGATAATAATAACAACGTCCCATCCCTCCCCGTCCATCGCACCGCCGCAATCGTTTTGCCGTTCGATTCCCTCGAAGAAAGAGGGGAGAGGGGGAGAAAAAAAATACCTCCCCTCCTCCTCCCCAGAGATCGCGGACCGGATCGGAATTCTCACGGAGGATGTCGTTAGAAACGCCGTCTACACGCCGGTTTTATACGTGCCTGTTCGCAAATTGTGGCAGTTGGATGGATAGCCGGCTGCTGGTTGTAGGTAGGAACGATAGAAATAGGGAGCATCGTGGTACACACTTGACGGTTTTCCTAGGTCTCCGTGAACGGGTCTTCGTCCTGGAAAACCCTGAAAATTGATTTTCCAGGCGCGGTCTCTCCCGCGGTACCCACGCACAGGTCTCTCTCTCGCTCTCTCGGTTGCATCGATTTTCACCTGACTCTCCTCGCATCCCCTGCAGCGAACTCGAATCAGCCGTTCATTCAGAATCGGAGGAAAAAGGACAAGAAGGAAAAATCTGGGTCAACGAAATTTCGAGAATTCGAAGGAATACGCTCGGAATCGTTCGATTTCTCGCTCGATCCCTTCGATTTGCTTAACTTCCTTTCGAATCGGGAACGAGGAACGGGAAGAAGAGCGCGCGAAACGTCAAATTCTCCGTAACGCTTCGGAAGAAATATGGAAGAACGGGAGAGCGAGAAGAGAAATGCAACGCCGAGGAGGATCCTGTTGCTCTGCCGAGAACCGTTCCCGGAACTCGGGTGAACGAGTTAAGTCGGTCAAACCGGAGAAAACCGAAACTTTTTCGACTTTGAAAGTTTCCGGATAAATTTACGAACGCCTGGGAAATCGGCAAACTCGAGTTTGCTCTCGTTTCGAGATTACGCATGGCAAATACTTCCCTATTCTTTTTTACGCGCTGCTCTATCGACGCGCCTCGTTCGAATTCGTTTCTCTTTGAGTCTTCAGAGAGATGGTATATAGATAATAATAAAAAAAAAAAAAAAGAAAAGAAAGAAAGAAAAGAAAAGAAAAAAAAACGAGAGAAAGAAAATGATAAAAGTTTGAAAGACCGATAAGCCGAGATAAGGTGAGGTAAGGTAAGGAAAGGTAACGAGCGACGCGAAAAGGTCGAGGGAAGTCAAGTTGGGTTAGGTTAGCGGCGCGAACAAGGGAGGGAAGGAAGGAAGGGTCGCATTTCGCTTCGATAAAGTTTGTTCGATCGGTCGTTAGTCCTGTTCCTGAACAGACCAACAGGCTTGTCGCCTTCCCTCCCCCTCCTCCACGTGTATAGATGTAACGATCGAGCCGATACTTCCCTCCCCCCCGCGAGAAAAGAAGGAAAAGTTTGCGCGTCGAATTTAAGGGCACAAAGGAAGGAACAGGTCGTCCCGTTTCACCGCGAGAACCGCGATACCCGGCTACGACCAGAGAGAGTTACGACTCGGCGCGGGTATGGCTACGGCTTCGGGAACGGCAATGGCCACGGCAGACGAGCGTTTAACTTGTTTCCAAGTTCTCCAAGGTCGTGTGGTGCGGTTGTAGGTCGGTGGTGCAAGAGGAGGCGAGACCGAGAGGACAAGAGGGAGAGAATTTCCGAGGCCGCGTCATAAATCTCTATCTGGTGGTGCTGGTTGTAGGGGTAAACGCTCGCTCGGGATATACTTGGCCGACGTCTGTAATTTCGCGCCATCAGACTTTACTCCCCGCCGCCTTCCTCCCATTCTTATTCTTCTCCCCTCCATCCTTCTTCTTCTTCCCCCTCCACGCCCGCCTCTCTCCGTTCCCCCCCCTCCTCCCTTACTTTCTCTCCTTTTTCTCTTTCTTTTCCAAATTATTCCGATCCGTGTGACAAACCGATCAACGACGAACGGTATACGCGTATACCTGAACCTGAAATTTTCCCTTCTCTCTCGTTGCACGGAAGAAGAAAGTGACTTATGACTCTGAACTTTTGAAAGAAAAACAAAAGAGCGAGGCAAGCTTGACCCAGACCCGTTTAATCCGTTAAACGGTACTGTTTCCATTAACCGTCGCGTCGCCTGCGTTCGTTATTACCGACGAGTATTGTCGTTGTTGCCGAGGGTTTCCCTCCTCGAATTGCACGAAATTGAAAATCAATTTTTTTTCACGAACGCGACGTTAATTGATAATTAAAAGGAGATGGAAAATGCTGTTTCTCGTCGAGTGTTTACGATTCGCGAGTTTTCTACGAGACGATTTCGTTCGTAAAAATTCACGTTCCACGGATGAATAAACGGCGTGTAATTGACGATGACGAGAAGCAAAAAGCGAACAATTTAACACTTGTATACCATAACTGCGCCATCTATCGTCGAAGATATCTTTTCCCTTATTTCGACCCGAATCGATTTTTATCGTTTTCGAACAATATCTATTTGAAAAACACGAGCAATGAATTTTCAGAAGAATGAATTTGATTCGGACGATCAGTTTGATCGAACTCGTAGAAATTTTCTCTTTCGATTCGATTGCAAATCGATTGGAAGTTAATGAGGAAATGTTGGTCGACGATCTTTCCGCGAGTTCTTAAAAATTGATCGCGAGACGCGTCTTTTGACTTTTCTGACCACCACGATCGAACTGCTTCTTTTCCAGGGAAGTGTTTACACTTGAGTGGATTGACACCCGAACCATTGACGGCAGATGATGACTACAAGCTCTTACGCTTCGGTATCGGTTTCACGAATATGGTGGCTCGCGCTACCAAAGGCAGTGCCGATCTAACGAGGAAAGAAATCAAAGAAGGTCAGTATACGAGACGATACATGTACGCAAAGGCGAACGATCTCACGTGGGCGCGATATAATATGTACGTAGAACGATATCATCGTTGTTCGTATTCGTAAAAAAAAAAAAAAATATATATATATATATAAAACGATAAAAGATTATTTTCTTTCGATCGATAATTCTTTTTTCTTTGAAATCGAAGAAATTGAAAATATAAATATTAAACGTAGAAAAATACAACGCGATTCGTCCGTTAATTAATAACTCGAGATTACGTTCAATTTCAAAAGAAGAACAAAGAAGGATTTCCATGTAAGATATGCGCGCGCACACACACACGAACATGCACACGCACATACGTATACATACGTATCTAATGTGTGCGAAAATTTTAAACGGATCGTGCACATATGGGCCACAAAAACCAGACTGTTTTAAACCGAGACGAACACACGTTTTAACGTTCATTGGGTTATTCGAATCGAGATAGATCGAGCATAGTTTCGAAGCTTATCGTACATAATATTCGCGAGTTGACGAAAATAATCGAATGCGATTAATTTCGCAAAGCAAAGCGTTGTTCGTTAAAATAATTTACCTATTCGATACTGGTTGTTTTATATTCCAATCAAAGAATAACTATATATAACAAATTTATATTATCTTATATTAACATAAACGCTGAATAATAATTTTCGTAAGAATAGCTTTTCCATTAACTGTTTCGAGCCGATCAAATTTTCTTAAAAATTTTCTTTTTCTTCGTCTTCGTAAAGGAAGAATCTTTTTCTACGTTGCTCGAGTTTGATACAGTTGAATACAATTTTATCGTTTTATGCGATTGTATTCGAACATTTAACCTCGAGAATTAACGCGAAGAATGAAATGAAACACTGATTCGAAACTGTACAAAGACGTAACGCGGAATTGACCTATATAGACGAAATGGACGAAAACTCGAGCAACATCGTACGTTTATCGATAAACGTTCGTTTACTTACCACCTTTGGATACCTGCCAGTGATGAAAAATTTCCCGAACCACAAGGTTCGATTCACGATCTATCGGATGTTACGAACACCAACAACAAACTGTTCTCACTTGTAAGCTAACCGGTGAAAAACGATCGTCGTTTCGTTTCGGTTAACGTACTGGGGGAGGAGGGGGGGAGAATTAACGACGATCACTGGCTAGATTATATTCGAATCAACCTTTTACTCTTACTCGATACTCTTCGCGATCGTCGTCGCGAGAAGACTGGCGGCACGCGGTATCAGTGTTACCAACCGAAACCGTTAAAATTCTCTCGGCCGCGCGAATGACGAGTCGACTTGGTCGAGCGACTCAACGAATCAAAAGACAAAATCCAGTGAAATTGAAAGATATTTCTAACGCACGTACACAAGCGCGTATACATCGTTCCTACATCTACGATGAAACTTTTCAAAGCTCGTTTCTGCTTTTTTTACAGGCAGTCACATCCTGTTGGAAAAATTACGAAAATACAAGCCGAAAATAGCCGTATTTAACGGTAAACTTATATACGAGGTATTCTCTGGAAAGAAGGATTTCGGATTCGGTAGACAACCCAACTTGGTCGAAGGTACAAACACGGTAAGAGAAAGGCGGATTTCGTAACGAATGAATTTTTATCCGTATAACGC